CACCAGCCTCAACATCCACCTTCTTATCTCTGTACCCCCAACCCCACCCACTCTAGGCCACCCCTCCTCCTTGCCACATGCAATTACTCACCCCATTCCTAAGAAGTATATCAATACAATATGAATGATTTCTATAAATTCCTAATATTAGGTTGTGAGAATCTTTTGCCCATGACATTGGATTTACAATAAAATGCTCTTATGTTTTATGACACTGCTAAAAGTTAAAAAACTACTGCCAATTCCCTGGCTCCTCAACTGCAAATCACAGCTCTGGCTTCTCCCTTCCTTATTTTTTTTTTTCTTCCCTCTCTCTTTTTTTTCTTCCTTACTTAGATTTTTTTTAATTAACTTTAATTTTTAAAGAATATTTTTATTTACATTGCCCTTGATGACTTGTATTTCTTTCCAATTACCTGATTTAGTCCCTTTAAACATTTCTTTGATTTTGCTAATTCAAGAGCCCAAGCAGAAAACTATTGTACTCAGAATAAACAGTGGCTTGTGCAAATGTACTGTCTTTCCCTTGGCTCCTCAGTTTTACCTAAAGTAGGAGAGAAGCTTTCCTGGGACTGGCTCTTGAGTGATGGAGGAGGCTTTCAAACAGATAAAGTCTTGAACTGTGCTTAGAGAAGATTAAGAAGTTATTTACCTAAACAGAAATGAGATGTCACCTTGACATTGTATGTTGTCGCCTTGACATTTCTGTCATTATCCACGTTTCTGGTTGATGGTCTCAGAATTTCAGAGCATTCAACATTCAGTTCCCATGAGTTTGTGGTTTTTCTGAGAGAGTATATATTTCCTGCTTTCACTCTCAGTTGAAAGATATTCATCTATCAGGGATGTATTTGCTTATCTTCAGAAAATGAGTATATTTAACTTACTGTTTAGAAAAGGAAAGGGATGAAAGTAGTGATTGTATTGATACTGAGATCATTGAATGCTCCTAAATCTTTTCCACATACATAGCTCCTTGAACACCTCAGAATGAACCCTTTCCCTCTTATAATGGGTTTCCTTGAGTGCCGAAAAGCCAGATTCTACAACACTCGTCATCAAATCCAAAATGTCAACCATCCGCTGCATCCAATTAGATTGAAGATAATTGAGTATAGAACTGTGGTCCAAAATATTATTGTAGCACAGATCATGCTTTTAAAAATTGTAATAAGCAAATATCAAAAATCTACAAAGCCACATACTTTAGTCTCTTAAAAAATAGTTAAACAGATATAATCTTGTCCACTAGGAGCTAAATATAAATAATGCTGCATTTGTTCAGAGTTGGCACTCATACATTTTAGTGGAATAATTTGTGAGAAAAAATGCGAATGGCATCTTTCACGGCCTTTTCTTAGGTGTTGTACCACACCACATATGAAAAAACAAACAGCCACATAACTCCTTTTGTGGACATCTCCAACATCCTGGTCTTCATCGCTACTCTGTTGAAGGTTTTCTGAATGTGAAACAATGCGATTTGTAGACTTTCCCAAGTAACTGTTTCAACTGTTATCATATGGTCCTAATTATTTTAAATTGGAGGAGCTGGCTGACAACACTAGAAACATGGATACTTAGCACCATCTATTGCTCAAGAACAAAACAACTGTATGATAAATAAAGGGGAAAATCATTCTTGAGGTGGGGCTCTAAAAAGAGGGTTTGTTTTAGTTTTTTATTACTGCCATAACAAATTATCATAAATGTACTGGCTCAAAACAACGCAAATTTCATCTTTGCATTTTGTAGGCTAGGAGTCTGCAACAGGTCTCACTGGGCTAAAATCAATGGGTTAGCAGGATAACATTTCTTCCTAAGGGAGAATCTCCCCATTTCGTTGCCTATTCTAGATTGTAGAGGATAGAGTTTTAGAGGCACCAACATTCCTTGGCTCATAACCCCCTTCCTTCATCATCAAAGTCAGCGTTCTTCCATTCATTCTGCCCATTCTTTTGTAGTCACATCATCCTTTGATTCTGACCTCAACTGGGAAACATTCTCTACTTTCAAGGACTCATGTGAGTAAATTGGAGGCACCCATCCAATCTATCCACAATAATCTCCATACTTCAAGGTCCTTAACCTTAACAACATCTGCAAATTTTCCATTTTTTATGCAAAATAATATATTCACAGGTTCCAGGTATTAGGACCCAGACATCTTTGGGGAGCCATTATTCTGCTCACCACAAGGTCTTATAGAGCATTAATTAAATCCTTGTGCAAATATCCAAAATTTAAGTCTTTTGACCTTCGGTGGAGTCAGTATGTTGGCGATGGTATTCTGCTATTTATGTTGGGGGCAGAGAGGAGGAAGGCTGCATTCTAATGTTTGCAACATTTGTCAGTGTTATCATTTTTGTGCTTATGAGCCCAGGCTATAATTGTTCATTTTCTCTTACTAATGCTTACTGGTAGGCATTCTTAAAATGGCCATCTTTTAAGAACATTCCAACTAAGTTTAATATTCCTTAGGGGAAGGGTCAATCCTTATTTCATCCATTCTTCCAACACCCAACCTTTGCCTTTCACTCCATCCCACCCTTTGATCTGGTCACCAACGCATGTGTGTACACAGAGGCATACACACATCTATAAATATTAACATTTTCAATAAATGTCACTAATTTTCAAGGATTGATTTCTGTTTTACTGAGGGGTTCTGTTTGGAATGTCTCTTTTAGAATGTATAGATAACTTTCCCATCTAATCTACCTTACAATACTGCAATGCCATTTGTGATTATTATTTATTTTCTATAGTAATGCTATTTATAGCTTAGTGATAGACAACTTTGATGATGAGTACTGAGCATTCAGCTTTACTGTATTTATAACAGTAACACAGACACACGCGCTGGTGGATGCTCAGGATGCTGCTGGCAGTTCATGACCTATCTGGAAGAAGCAAAGTTCAGGTGCTAGAGGAATGCTCAGGAGATATGCTCCCCCATTCCCTCTCTGACCAGAGACACTGGTGGCAGTTAGAAACAGAAGACAGTTTTTGGCTGACAACATTGTTCATAGTCTCACTGATTTATAACTAGTGCTGACCACTTTAAGATCTCTGGCAGGAAGGAAATACCTAGAAAATAGTTTGTTCTAGCCACACTTCCTCTGGGATGTGTTTAACGTTCTTCACTTTGGGATAGGAAGAATGAACATTTTGGAATATAGCAGTCTCTTTTTATAATTTCTCAAATTTGGGAATAAAACAAAGGCACTGAGTTTTTAGAAGGACTTGAAAACTAATGTAAGTTCAAGGCCTATCAGATCTGCAAAATAACTAGAATGTACACAGAAATTATAACTTATAAAGTTCACAATCATCTAACTTGATAATGACATCAACCCTGTAGGACAGATATCATTTTACAGTTGAAGAAACTAATGCTCATGTCTAATTGACTAGGATTCTAAACAGCATACTTGTTGACACGGATATGGAGAAATGATCTCAATTATATAACACAAGTGGGAATAAAAGATTATTTTTTTTCTGTTAAATATAGTCACTTTTAATGACAGTGACCCACTTTTATTAGTTAATATATAGGTTTAGTGGATATAACTGAGACTCCAAATAATAGGCTTATGCAAGCTAGAAGTCTATTTCTCTGACATGTGATGGCCCTGTTGTAGTTGGTCCTGGACTGGCATTCTGTCAGCAATGTAGGCAACTTAAATGTTCTTCTCTGAAATCCTTAAGGCAGTGGTTCCCAAACTTTGTTATTCACTGGAACCACTTGGAGATTTTTTAAAACACTCATGTCCAGCTCCCACCCCCAGAAATTCTTTGATTGCCCTGCAAGTGCAACCTTGGGCACTGGGATTTTTAAAAGCTCCCTAAGTAATTCTAATGTCCAGCAAATTAATCCAGCTTTTCAGAAGGGCGGTTGACTATAACAAATGCTAAAACATGTCTTAAATACATCTTTGACCCAAAATTTCCATTGTAAATAACGTATCCTAAGGCAAAGTTTAAGAATGTGAACCAAGATTAAAATAAAGTGGTGTTCATCTCACAGTTGTTTATGACAGCAAAAAAACTGGAAATAACCTATGGCAAAAACTGTTTCCTCTGCCTCTTGGGCACACAGCTGGATTACATTTCCCAGACTCTTCTACAGGTAGAGATGATTATGGGACTACATTCTGGGTGATGAAATGTGGGTAGAAGTGATATAAACAGCTTCAGGTTCTAGTCCTTAAATACTTCCCGAGTGATCCTCCATGTTCTCTTATCCTGACATTGGGGAGATACAAAGAATCCAGGGAAGAAAGTCAAAGCCCTAAATAATAATAAAAGTGCTAGAGGGGCGCCTGGGTGGCTCAGTTGGTTAAGCGACTGCCTTCGGCTCAGGTCATGATCCTGGAGTCTCGGGATCGAGCCCCACATCGGGCTCCCTGCTCGGCGGAGAGTCTGCTTCTCCCTCTGGCCCTCTCCCCTCTCACGTGCTCTCTCTCTCTCTCTCATTCTCTCTCTCTCAAATAA